CCCCAAAACCCCAAAACCCCAAAACCCCAAAACCCCAAAACCCCTAGTTCCTGGAGACCAGTTGAAACTTTAAACCTTAAGTAGGGGACTAGTGAGAGGTTTTGGGGTAAGGGGAGTTTAGGGTATGAAGAGGGGAATTTGGAGGGGGAGGGGTGTCAGATGGGTAAAATTAGGGTGAGAAAGTTGGATTATGGAGAAGGAGGGATATGGTATATGGAGATATCGTGGTTTTGGGGTATATAAATCACCGGATCGTGTGAAAAGGATTCATTGATATAAATAGAACTCTTTTCTTACGTAATTAGGGGGTAAATTTAGAAGGACAGGAGAGGAATTTGTTCTTTTTTGGAAAATTATAACAAGTTGACTTAAAAAATTCTGATTTATAAGTTAGAAACATTATAGACTCTTCCCAAGATTGCTATAGACAAACCTCTTTAAGTCTTTGGAAAACAATACACTCAAATTAACTTTATGATTTAGAACTAGCTTTAACCAAGATATCCTATTAATTACAATACCTTCTTCTTTGCCTTCAAAAACTGTGAAATATACAGTCTCTCTAAATTTCTCTTCCAATAAACCACTAAATACTAAACTTGGCTACAATTTTGTTAATAAGATTTGTAAAATTTTGATTCATTTTTATTCTATAAATTACATCAACTCTGGTGCTTGATGGAGGCCTAGTTTTAAGTTTTGGAATCAAGAAGTCTTATTTCAAGATGCTAGCTTTCTTCTTAGAATTCCTGGGTAAGTCCAGATAGTCTCTGAAAAGGTTTTAGAAATCGAGGCTTACTGTCTGCGGTTAGATCTGATCCTTTGAAGCGTCTGACACAAAGCAACTCTGGAATCACAATGGAAGCATCTGACCTTGGCCTTCATAACTTTAGGGATTAGGTTATCAAACTGCCTGTTCTTGTGATGCCTTGCTTCTCCGAAAAAATTGAGATTATTTTCTTCGGATTCATTCATCGTAGCACCTTTGTGTAAAGCTTCTGGGACTTTATCCTTCTTGCTCAATTTACTCTTTTTCTTGCAGGAGAGCATTCTTGGACGGGCTCAGAGGGCCCTCTTATCTGGTGGAGATCAAGATCTGGCCTTATTAAAGGACTTTAGGAAGTTGGCCAGCTTACAGCTCTTTTTCTTCCTGTGTAACAACTTCATCAAAACGTTCTTCATAGATCTTTTACATAAACTAGGAATCAACGACTTGTTTTTGCCCTCTAAGAGTTCATTTGCGTGCTTCTTGCTTGAATCAAAAGAGAGAGCGTGAGCTTTGCAGTAAGAATTCCTCTTGGAGCTCTTAGCCGCTTTTTGGGATTGAATTTGCTTTAGTCCTCGTTTATTCATAAATTCTGTTCTGGGACTCATTGATGACATCTTTTTCCTATTATAGATGTTATAATGGTAAAAACTAAGTAGATTTTAAAACAAACTATCTTTACTTACCTGTTAAGTCACCTAAATGATACGAGCTTGCCTTCATTCTGAAGCTTGTGAGACTCTTGCCTCCGGTGTTTATCATGCTTGAAGAACTTCCTGAACTGCTTCTAGAGATAGAGGGTTAAACCGGGAAGACTAATTAGGTTAATGAATCTCAATATTATTATAAAGGCAGCTTTTCTAACCTGGTTGCATTCTCATCCCATGGTATAGGTATAACTCCAAAGTATCATAAATGACGCTGTTATTAATATGTCGTCATTCAGAGGTTTTAGGTAAGAATATTTTTAATTTTCAGATTTGTTGAAGAGGGAAAAATTCATAAACAATCAGTAAACCAGGTTGATAATGAGAGATAAATTTGACACTCCTGATGAAAATTTCGTTTCTTCAGAACTCTTATACATTCTGGGGTATGTAAATGTTAAAAATATGTACTCTATGAGATTTGAGTAGCTTGGACTCTTCTCAGAAGTGTTCGGTGTTTAAAAGACTTACGCCATTTTCAAAGTTTACAGTCATTCCTCTCATGATATTTAAATCCCTCTTCTGCTTTGAAAACGGCCTTGGATTGATAGAATCTTGCCTAATATTTAGTTAGAACGAAAACAAGGTCAAATACCCTCACAAAGACCCTAAAAAGCAAGTTTTGGAGCCCTTTCTACATCTAAAATACCCTTAAACCCCATTTCTCACTCAATCCCAGCCCTAACCCCCCTAAAAATCCTTAACGCATCCTCCAAACCCCCTCTCCTCTCTTGCCTACCTCCAATTTCTCTCGTTCTTCACTTTATGCCTGGGTGAATGAATCATCTTAATTATTCCTACTACTAATTTTATTAGAGTCTTTTGGGGTTTTGGGGTTTTGGGGTTTTGGGG